ACTTTTTGTTTACCTTTAAATGTTGACACAGACCAGTTTGTGACTTCTTTCGTCTTTTTTGAGTGTCGCTTACTTACAAGCTCTTCAAGTTCGCTTTCGTTTAAACTTGCGAATCTCTTTGCAGGTGGCTCGGCAAAAATGCTCCCAAATAGGTCAAAGGATGGACTTTCTGTTTCATCTTCACACAACTGTGAAGACAGTTTCGCATTTCTGGCAGAAAGGACGTCGGCCATTACTTTGGAAACAATGTCTGTCAAAAGATTTGCTTTGTAAACATTGGCATACACGTCAGCAGCATACACCCATGGGCAAATAGTAGAAGCTGAATTAACCAATCAGAGGGCGCGCTTTGCTTTAGTTATGTTATAAAACATTTTTGAGGCCTGGTTACTAAACTCGTTTCCCATCTCGGCAAGTAAACATGGCGGACAGTAGCTGAATGAATTTTTCATTTCTTCGGAAGACATTACTTTAAGTCTAGGATATTTGAAAGGATGGAGAATTTTCAAAACGACTGCTGTCGCCCTTGGACCAAAAATTCTTTCAAGAACTCGTATTAAAGGCATTTAAGAATCGTAAACGTAGTGGTTACGTTGATCGTCAGTACGTCAGATCGATTGACCGAAATGTATTTTCCTTCAAACTAAAGCTACGCATTTTCAGACGATGATGATAACTGTGAATAAAGTCCATAACGATAAAACAAAGGTACCGGGTGAATTTAGTTTTTCGTTGTTTCGCTTGTTTGTTTTGCGACCAAACTCGATGAGTAAATTGATTCACAATCGATGTACATGTAAGCTTATTCTTAAAACTGCGGTTGCATACGTGTATGCAAACGAACAATTGCTTCTGTGTTTTTCTGTTTTAGTCCGCTATTCTGTAGTCCTCTTTGTTCAGCTCTGAAAATTATATTAATTTTCGTCTCGCGCTTTACAAGTGATAAAATAACCCCTGTTATATATTACGCTTTTTTATGATAAGTTTCAATTAAGTAGCCGTACAGTACTGTGGGTTGGGATGTAAGACTTAATCGTCCGGCCAGGTCTCAGTCCGCTTTTGGCGGTAACTCAGTGAAAGGCTAAGATGAATAAGTTAACAAAGCGGAGAGAACAAAGCGGGTTCCGCCCGTGTTCGACTTTGTTTAATAAAATTAACATTATACCCGGGCGTTATATATTACAGGAGTAGACTGCTGAAACAGTTTTCTTACCTTTTATCCTATGGCAGTTCCAAGCATCAACAAACCTCTTCATTCCTACTTCAGCTACTCCACACGTAAACCAAGAAACACAAAACTGGACGTTCTCATTGGTCATATCGAGAATGCCTNATCAACAAACCTCTTCATTCCTAATTCAGCTACTCCACACGTAAACCAAGAAACACAAAACTGGACGTTCTCATTGGTCATATCGAGAATGCCTTATTCCTCTAAGTCCACAAGCACACGCTTTATTGGATAATTATCTCTTGAGTTGACCTCAAGCCATAGTTTTTCTATTGTTAAGTTTTATTTCGAGGTGGTCTTCACATTTGCTGGCCTGTCCATGCTCTCTCGGAACCCTGACAGTAACTCTTGGATGAAGAGTATGAGGACCCACTCTCTACCCATATCGACACGTACTTGATCAAATACGCCCGTCTCCAGGAGAATTGCTCTGTGATGCAAACAAAGATTTAAGATGTGTAGGTAAAATATCTTACGAAATGATGATGATGATGATGATGATGATGAAGAGGAAGAAGAAGAAGATGATGATGATGATGATGAATAAGAGGAAGAAGAAGAAGAAGATGATGATGATGATGAGAAGGAGGAGGAAGAGGAAAAGGAGAAGAAGGAGGATAATTGAGGGTGTTACAAGATTGAAGATATTTTGGAAAACACGGAATCAATTTGGTGAACAGCAATAGGGATCTCTTTCACATAACTGTGGCTTGGCTCAGTCAATCAATAACAATTTAAGGCATTTTACCTGTAAAACTGACTGTACAACTGAAAAGGATTATTTGATGGCAGACTAGTCCAGTTCTCGATCGAGCTACTATATCCATGTATGAAGACAGCATGTACCACACCATAGCGCACAAGCTTTTCATTTTGATCTATGTGTCCTTTGTAACCAAACTTAGCAAACAAGCATAGTACGGGATGGGATTTGTCCTATCAAGCGTGTCAGTTTTCCTAGCTTCAAACCCAATTGGATTGGCTTTCTTTAGCACTCTGTTAATAGTCCTGACAGAAATGTTTACACCCCATGTTCGAGGATATCCTTGGAGTAGGCGTCCCCAACCTGGCACAAATATAAGTAATAATCCATGAATAAGCATAAAACGAACATGAATTAAATATGGACGACCAAAAGTTAGCAAGTTTTGTTTCATTTTACGTACAATGTTTGTGAGATAAACTTAATATATAGATTTAGCCAAGCCTAAAAGCGGAGCTCCGGTGTTATTTATTCTTAGTGACCTTGCTTTANTTCCTGTGTAAGCATTCCAGTTGGATTCGGGACGTTGTCTCCAGTCACTGCAAAGGTACCGCACTGGTTATTTGAGTATAAACACGCGCCCACAGTCCACATTGAATTGAGTTTATCAATGCCTGGAGCGAATTGGACAATCGGAACTGCAATTGGCTGTGGAAGTGGAGCTGGCTGACCTGGTTGAGCTGGTGGTGTAGGTTGAATGGCAACGAATGAAATTCTGGTTACAAGATACAATATACCCCCTGCTGGTATGCATGTCTGCACCGCAAACGCTCGAATATTGCCTTCCCAAATTCTCCACTGTCCCGTGTTAAAAGCACCACATTGGGGCACGGCATTTGTGTACTGATACGTGGAATGAGCGCTGTTAGCGGCATTCGCCGGGTCACCTGAGGCAGTCATAGCTGGGTACAGGTGACCTTTGTAGCATCCCAACTGGTTCCCTTGGTATACTCCATTGCTTCCTTGGTTATTGATGCCTTTTAACAAAGTAAAATTAATTATTTTCAATTATTTTAACAAAAAATGACTGCGAATTTGAGAAGTTTTTATTTTCTGTATGTTTTATTTTTTTAGGACTTGGAAAGTTTGGCCTTATAATTTCAAGTTGGTCGTTCTTAATCTATGTTAGTCTTCTCCATTTTTTATCATACTTGTTCCTATATGCTTCATTAATATATAGATTTAGCCAAGCCTAAAAGCGGAGCTCCGGTGTTATTTATTCTTAGTGACCTTGCTTTAACAAAGAATTTACGGAATATAACAATTTTAATTTTTGCTTGTTTTACCTTGCCGAAAGTAATCAAATATAAAGAAAACGAAAATGAAACAAACAATCTAAGTGAAACAATTAATAGCATGTTTTAATCTCAACTCAGTTATGACAGAAGTTAATAAAAACAACATTTAAGGTCGAATTGTGTTGCAAAAAGAGGGATGTTATGTAGCCTAAATG